ATGTACCATCCACCTGTCTACAATACGAGAATGCCATTATTCCCGGGGGATCTTTGGGAAACTCAACGACGAAGTCCATTAATACGGACTCCCAGCACTCTGCCGGAACAGGTAGAGGCTGCAACGGTGCACGGAGTGAAGGACTAGGCTTCACTCTTTGACACATCTCGCAAGCACGCACGTACTTGCCCACAAGCTTATACTTTCGTGGCCAGTAAAAGTGGCGACTGACCGTGAGGTAAATCTTTTCACGGCCGCAATGCCCACTTATTGGTGGATCGTGACATTCAAACATGATCCGTAACCTGAGATCATGTTGTGGCGGTACAACGACACGAGGTGTGTCACCGTTTACGGCTGTGTAGTACAGTAAGACGTTCCGCTGGGTGTATCGATCTATAGAAGATCGATACATGGCAGGTAAGCGCTTCTTAGCTTACTTGGATGAGTCCTTGAGGTATTCCAATAGGCGTACAAGATCACTATCTTGTGCGAATGCCATTATAATGTAGTCGAGTGAACTCGACGACAAAACGCTGGTACTCAGCGCAGCGACAGTAGTATCCACATCGCTGTCGGACTGTAAAGTCGGCTCGAAGTCGAGCCGACGTGAGAGCGCATCGGCGACGACGTTAAATCGTCCCGGTTTACACTCCACGGATAAGTTGTACGCCGCGAAGAACGACAACCATCTTGCCATTCGTTGCGAGAGGTGTGGACTGTTTACAGCCGTGCGTAATGACGCATGGTCTATATACACAGTGAACGGACAATATACACAATGCACGGTTTTGTCTCCTACGAGATAGACGTGCAAATCAGCCAGTGCATATTTAATGGTAAAGAGCTCCTTGTCATGCACCAGGTAATTGCGCTCAGCTGGTTGCAGCTGAAGCGTTTGATAAGCAGACGACACGCTCTTCGCCTTTTGTGTCATACTGCATCAGTGCACAATCAGTTGCAAAATCGCTTTCATCACAGACCACGTGAATTTTTCTGTCCTGATCTGCAATCTTCATACTGGTGATGGTATCAAGCTTTTCTTGATACGTGCAAGGAACGCTGAAAGTAAGCGTTTCAATTTCACTTTACATATTGCTTGAGTAAACAAGAAAGATGTACGGTCATCTCGGCGTAGTTGCGCAAGTACTTGTGCAGATACGTCGCTATTCCAAGGAATTTCCTTAGACCTTTGACATCGACTGGCACTAGCCAGTCCGTGATCGCCTTGATCTTTTCTGGATCAGGGAGTACGCGTTCTTTCCGACGATGCACCCAAGAAGTGGTATTTTGCTAGCTGCGAATGTACACTTCTTGAGGTTGGCGTACAGCTTATTCTCGCGCATAAGTGTAAGAACCTTACGGACGTGGAGTCTTTGGACTTCCACGTCTGTTTTCCCGTCCATAGCCCGGCTATGGACGAACACATCATCGAAGTAACTCGGTGCGAATTCGCGCCCGGTCTCAATAGATGTGAAACACATCTATTGAATGTGGCTGGTGCATTACTAAGCCCTTGCGGCATCACCAACTATTCCCAGAGCATAACATTGGGAGTGATCACTGCTGTGTACGGGATGTCCCGTTCACACATTAAGGTTCTGATAGAAACCATCCATCAGATCCATGGACGAAAAGATGGTACATTTAGACATACCATCTATGATTACGTCCTTTCTCGGTATCGGCGTTTGCGCCGGTATCGTTGCAGCTTTCAACTTGTTGAACGCGCGCACTAGCGCACACAAAAGGTCGTAGAGCTGTGATACGAAGTTTATTTTCTCACATGGCTCACAGCTAGGCGATCGCCAGAGAACTTTTCGATCGCCTCGACCAATTCTCGAGGCAGTAGCCACTAATTCATGTCACAATAATTTGTGCCTGGAACTAGGTCAATATCTTGTCGAGTACGATTATCCTTAGGTTACTTGCACGGTACGGATTCAGATAATACATCCTTGAATTCGATATTAAGGATTTGGCTTTAGTGACTCCCAGGATTGCGATGTGGTATCGCTCAATCCAGGTCTTCTCAACAAGGACAATTTCTTCCATTGATGAGCTGCTAAGAAACCGTTCGTTCTCGGCAAAGATTGTTGATGACCTGATATTGATAACGTACTCGTCCTCTGCGACGAGTACAACGATCTGCTTGACTTTGCCACAACGCAGATCGCGCAAGAACCTTTTAGGTTCGAGCGTAGGCAGCTGCGTTATCTTCGAAATTAACTTTGGATGCGCAACCAGATCAAGCGTACAAGCGCCTATGTTTGATCCGTCATCAACCAAGACGTTCAACGTCTCGGTTACTTCCTGGGGACTTATTCCCTTAGGGCAATGTGAACTTATTCCCTCAGTGATTATTTCCTGGGGACTTACTCCCGCAGGCTCGATGGAACTTGTTCCATCGACTTCCTCTAGCTGTGGTGGCGCAACCACAGCGAGATCCTCTACGATCAACTCTCCAGTTGATCTAGGATTACCGTGTTGCCGCTTCTGGGCAAACGATTTACTCTTCGGTGAATGCTGCCCTCTAGGCGAGCATTCATGTCCCGGTCGACTCGACTTATCAGAGTGGCGGACCCTCGGCGCTACCTGTGCTTTTGCACAGCCGCCAGCAACTTGCTCCACGGTATGACTGTCTGTCATACTGAGCTCTTGTGCAGTCGTACTAACGACCGTACCACAAGTGAGGTCATCGCACGCACTCGTAGTACATTTAAACACTTGTGAACGATCTAAAACGTTCATCAGATGGTCATCCGATGAACAAGCGGCAGGCATCGTCACGGTTCGATGCTGCCAGCTGACCCATTGCTCGTACCTTCGGAGCAGTAGTAATCCTAGGATAACTATGTTAAAGTATGTATGCTGAAAACTTTCCCTCCACTCATAGCGCGCGTCCATCGGTCATTGGTCAAGCGCGTTGGTTGATATGATGGCCCATATCAACCATTTAGAGGGCATTTCCAACTTTAGCGAGATGCAAGAACAATATTATAAGTAAAAATAATATTGCCAAATATTATTAGTTGTAATCAATTTTTACTGACACTTCAAATAAGTGTCAATATCATGTAACGGACTCACCGTTACACTAAGCCATAGCTGGCATAGCCTTCCCGACCACAAAATTTTCCATTTGCTACTCAACCGCAAAAACATCTACCCTGCACTCCCTACACGCTATTCCTCCGTCAAAATGTCGCCTAAGCTCCAGCCGTCTTCATTCGCGTTCATCGTAAACTTTACGGGTTTGGCTTGCACAGACGTATCATCTCGACAAAATGTCACAAGTTCAAATCGAACTCCTGCGCAGCAAGAACCGTGGTGTCATCATCACCCTGCAATGTATATGTCTCTACTTGTCATCCATATGCCCCATCCTATCTTCCCAATCGGCCCACATCCTGTCAATCAGCGCTTCAAAAACGTTTTCAGGGTCTTCCACCTGCTCTGCAATGATCGATTCTTCAAACAAACAAATGAAGGGTAAGAAAAGGATCGATACTCACCCTTGATGTTGGTTATGACCTCATACACAATCGTACGGGCTTTTGCTGTAACTTCCTTACACATCTGCCAGTGCTTGAGCATTTTCTCTAATCGAGCCGCCTTCTAAATCTGCACAGAATCTACATTGTGCATCGTATCGATTAATTTTGCCAGCTTTCACGGACGTGCGCATAAATTATTTTCATTTTTTACCTAGAGGAGTACCTTCCATTTGACAGACTCACCAATTCGGCCAGACATGTCTTGCTATTCTACGTACGGGCATGTTGGCGGAGGCAACGGCAACGGCATCAGTAGTGGCGTCACGATCGTCAATGTTAGCGGGCATCTGGGAATATATGCTCGATTTGTTTCGGATGGTGAAGTGCAGGTAAAGGGGTGATCTATAAAGGGCCTCCCAAGCATATAATAGGACAGGCTATGCCAGGCTGGCATATCCCGCCTGGAAGCTTTGTCGGGCACTCTAACGACAATACAGTAGAGCCTGTCGAAATAAATACTTTGGGGACCGTGATGTTCTATTATATTATAGAGCTTATAATTTAAATTAGATATAAAATACATTATTCCCCTTCGATTTCCTGTACAGTTCAGTATTGCTCCCAAGCCGCAACACCGATTCCTCCACCCCACCTTCTCCAATCAGTTCTCTTGGTGATACCGGCATTCGCGCTCAATGAGCGGTCGACTACTTAAGCTAGATCGTAAAGAGTAGGAACCAAAGTGGGGATGGATACTCAACGCTTTGTCGACGCGCCTAACACTCAGGGATATCCTCACACGCTGCGCATATAAAAGAAAGGATATGGTCTTTGAATTAATAATTAAATAGTAGAGGTTTCTTATAATTACCATCGTCTTAAGCTCGGGACCAGGCCATTCTTATATATTATGGAGGTTATAATGTTACGGAGGGTTAAATTAGACATTCTACTACTGTAGAGACAAAAGCCGCATGATAGCATGATGGGCAAATACCACCGGTATAAACTTGCTTTTCTAAGTATAAGTTGGGCGAAGCAGGAGGGTGATGCTTTGACATTTTCTTCACACATTAAATAGACACGGCTCCATCCCCGAGTCACGTGTAATTGTAGGTTGCAAAGCCAATCCATTACATGCAATTTGTGTAAAGGTCGATGCAGCTCTTCTTTGCTCTGGTGAAATAGAATTTGTGACGCATGGTCGGTCGCATTACATCCGATCCGACGATGGATGGAAGAGGAAAAGCGTTTGGCGCACAAGTCACAGCGCCAGGCATCTATAGAAATGTAAGTAAATAGAGGAAAGATCCAGAACTACCAAAGAAAGACGTCGCCACCTTCGTAAAGCTATGACAATTGATATAGTATTCTGACAATCCGACACTATACCTAATGTATTCAATGAACATCTGTAACATTTCCGTGTGTCCATTGAAAACTTCCAGAACCGATTGGCCTCACAGTTGTTCATTTCCGAATCGGACAAGACCCAGACAAATCATGCGCTTCAGCTTGTTTCTCCTGCTCGTGACTTTCACCTGCATCGCTTGCGACAGTATCGTCGCGAGCTCGAAAGACTTGATACAAGTCAAGACCGTGGATACGAATTTTCAACACGAGCGGACGGATGGAATTCGTCGCAAGCTAAGAGAAGGGGCGGCGGGCGAAGTCGTGGGGGCACAGGAGGCCGAAAAGCTCACAGAGACGTTAGGAAACATCAAAGGCGGGGCCGAAACTCTCGTGCCCAATGCTGATGTTATGGCCAAGAAAATAGGCGTTTTGGAGAAGATGAAAGGCTACTCTTCGTCTACTTTGAAGCAGTTTATAGCTTTCCTAAAGAGGATCTTTGGTAAATCTCATAAGCAACTCGAGAAACCACTTCAAGACCCGACACTTGCACCACCAATTGAAGAGTCAAAATCTTTGGCCACAAACAAAGAGATAGAGTTAGAAAAATCGACTGAACCCGTGGAGGAAGGAAAAGTGTCACCTCAAAAAGTGACAGCAGAACCACCTCCTGAAGATATTGCCGAGCTGGAAACAGCACATCCCGTCGCAGAAGAAGATAATGTTGCTAAAGTAACTGAACCGACGAAAGAAGTGGCAGAGGAGCACGAACCAGTACAACCCGTCGCAGAAGAAGATAATGTTGCTAAAGTAACTGAACCGACGAAAGAAGTGGCAGAGGAACACGAACCAGTACAACCCGTCGCAGAAGAAGCTGACATTTTCTTCGATGCGGAGGATGCTGATATTAAAACTCATAGCACAAGTGAGAATCATCGTTCTTCGACTTCACCAACCGTCATAGAAAAAAACGTTGTGCAACCAAAAAGTGGTAAAAATGCTGAAATACATGCTGGTGAAGGAGAAAGTGATACCACTAACTTGGCCAAAGGTGAAGCAACTGGTACAACTCATTTGAAAAATGGGGATAACGCTGCCGGTGCAGGTCAGCGGATTCCCGTCTCTTTTGAGAATTCAGATACTTCTTCCTTGAATGTCGAATTAAAATTCGAACTGTTTCAGATACTTGCAAACATAAAGTACTCCCTGACGAAAAGTCGCTGGATGCGCTCGAAATCATTAACAAAGGATGCTGCAAAGGAAGAAAAAGTTATACCTGATGCCGTTGAAGTATAAAATGGAGTCGTTGAAGGAAATGGTGTCACCACGATCTTGCATCCATAGACGATTAAGACCGACGAAGGTAAAGTGCATCAATCATCTAATTCGCTTGAGGGAGGAGCAAGGAAAGAGGATTAGCCACGTGACACCAGAACCTCCACCACGACCCTAATAGACAACGCTGATGTGCTTACGAATGCTGGCGATTCAGTCAAGTAAGTACACGTCAGTACACAACATGTTGGTATGGCTGTCACATTTGAAGTGATGGGGTCGAGGTAGCTATTGGAGGACTTACACAATGCTATAACTTATCTTAAAGTTACAGCATTGTGTAAGTTTGTATAAAGTTAGTCTTGATAAGAAAGAAATCATGATCATGCATTCAAGGTGTTTCTAGCGTTGTAATCAAAAACGAGAAGACTTCATAGCAACAGAGTGTAACGACATCACGCACTTATGATAGAACGTCTTAACGGGTGCCATCGATTTATCCAGACTTGGCGAGTCCGTAGCGTGTCGCACCTTTTTGCCGCCACCGTTCCCTTCATCACGTCTATGAGGCTACTTTGTGGCAATGTTGATTGAAAGCTGCCGTCTGAGTACGTACTGAAGATCATGAAGCTGCCGTTGGATGATCGTGCGCATGGCCTTTGAGGATCCCCCAGCCGAGTTTCGAGTCCGTGTCGAACTTTATTCTTCATTACAATGATCTCCTGACCGGCTTCCTTGAACATTCGTTGCTTCGACAGCAGCGTCGCGGTCACCATTCTCAGCACGAGTAGTCGCACCTTCCTTTTGATCATCTTTGACGCGGATCACGAGTCCATCTACTAGCTCCCGAAGCTTGTGCTTTAGCTTGTACTTCAGCGGTAAGGAGATCAAGATCTGATCCAACACTGATTTATTGCAGATATCCCCTCCAAGAACTTGATGCCGTCCTGCTTGTTAATGGCATCGAGCTCAGCCTGCAGCTTGGTACCACGCTTCTAGTCTCGGCGGCGAGTTTTATACTGAACGATGATTTCCGTCTCAGAAGAAAAGCTGAGGGTTGAAAGCCGTCAAGCCTAGCTCATTTACAGACCGAAAGAGCATGAAGCACACTATCGGAAGGTCGCGGCACAACTGGATGAGTTGAGAAACAAGTTCTGCACCTTGTACCTTTTCAAGCCTCAAGTACGTGCTTTAGGGGCTCGTCTCAAAGTCGGATCCTCATTATTGGATTATCAGCAGTTACAGCGACCGCTTCGACCGTCGTAAAATGCCACGATGACTATATTCTCGTGCCTTCATTGCCCTCATCGCCACTCTACCCTGTCATCGCATTTATCGATCACAGCTTGTGCTTTTCGTTTGAAGTTCAGTTTCAAGCAGATGCATCATCCAGCACATGATCAATTGACGCATGGCAGGTATTTGAGAATGAGGCATCACTGACATTCGTTGTATCCGCTGTATTTGTTGTGGTTTGTAGTGCTTGTTAGTACAGACGTTCCTTGTCCTGAAGAATCTGCAAAAAGGAATGGTCCGAGGATCGATAGAATCAAAGCTTTCTTGGCACAATCATGTGTTGTTTGATATGTGCATTGAATTATTCTAAGCTTTTCCTTTTAGAGCGATTGACAGGAGCAAGCAGCTACAGCGCTTCTCACATCACACTCGTTAACTTACATCTGAATCTTGCTGAGATACTGGACCAGACACAAATTGTTGTGTAACAGCTTCTGCAGGTGCTGCCACTGTTGCTGCTGTACAGCTCCCAACTCGTCCACTTGTGCTAAGAGCGTCGGGTCCGCGACCAACAGCTCCTCGTGCAGCTTCAAAAAACGATTCAAGTATGCTTGAAGCACTTGAAAATCACGGCGAGTGCGCATCTCCTCATGCAAAAATTCCAGAAAGAAACCCAATAGTTTCTTGCCCTCTTCATCGAAGTCACCCATGCACAGCGTGCTCACTTCAACGTCTACTCCTGAGGCAGAAAGCGACTGAATGTACGCGGCTACCTCATTGAAGCGCGAGCCTGTGTGATCCTCAAATTTCTCTTCCTGCACCGCCTTTGCCAGCAACGTCGCCAATTTGCAACGAGAAGTAACCATACCCTCCGTCTTGACAATCCGTGAGCTTAGAGCAGTCATGTCGGCTTCATCTTCTTCGTCGTCATCACCCCACGCCTCATCGTCATCACCAATGCCCCAACCTTTGATGACCATATCTTCGTCGCCCTCCTTCTCACCCACTTTCTTCGCTTCAGGAGAAGCGGGGACAAATGTAGGGTGTACATCGTCCTTGCGCGCTGTTTGAAGGAAGAAAGGAGCCTGCTCCGGGGCCTTGGGAGGATCGATAGGCTTGTTACGTTTCTTGATAAGCTCAAGATTAAACAGAGACTGCCAGAATGCACGTGGGGCCATTGACAGTGTAATGAGTGAAGCATCCAGCGGGTCCGAGCTCTCTTCGCTGTCTACCTTCTTTGTGCTTTCAGGCCGCTGCTCGGTAACACTTGTCACTGAAAGTTGAGGGTTACGTTCAGTGCCAAATCCAAGCTGGTCGCTATTGTCCACCTCATTGAGAGGCACAGGCATGTCCATAAGCACGGGCTTACTAGGCTCCGAATCTAAGAATACTTCTGTAAAGAGGCTGCGGTTTGCCCACAAGAAAATGCCAACATTGCCCACGTGCGTAGTAGCAAGAAACTCGCCTGTAGGCGACACAGCCAAACCAGTCACAGGTTTTTGAAACCGCATCCAGTCGACACACTTGCCCGTCGGGATATCCCATACGCGCAATGATGCGTCAGCCGATGATGAGAATAGCCACCGAGCATCCGAGCTGAAAGTCATGTCCGTCACACGGTGCGAATGTCCAGCAAAACGACGCACAAGCTTGTAGGTTGTCACGTCAAAGAGACGAAGCACTTGGTCATCACACGCCACACATAACAAGTTACTATCGCGGTGCAATTCCATCTGGCTAATAGGAGAGCCAATGTCGATCTCATCACGCAACTCATGCTTCTTGAAGCCCCAGAATTTCAGTTTGCCATCGATTCCTGCAGAGACCAGGGTGTTATTAAGAGCATCAACAGCCACCGCACTGACAGGTCCGTCATGAGCATCAGCAGCGGTTGTATCAGTTTCATCGTCCTGTAGTGCTGACAAATCTGTCCCAGGTAGCACGAGCGAGCGAATAATCTCCGGCTTCGGGGTTGCTGCCACCGGAAACGAACCACGAGCTTCTCCGGACTGCATGTTGTACTGATAAATAGCTCCGCCCAAACTACCAACAAGTGCATAATTACCACACGAACTGATAGCCACGCTAGTAGCCTGTGTCTTTTTGCGGCGCAAATCTTCGACGCTGCCAGATGGAGTGCGGTTGCTCGGGTCAAACTGACGAAGCACTTTCTTGCCGATAACGCGGTGATCGAAGCGCCACACGTAGGCTGCAACTTCGTTCTCATGGCACGTAATTACGTTCGCCCAATCGCGGGCGCGTGTCTCCATAGCAGCAAACTGCACGATAGGCGGAAGCTTCAAGTCCTCCACGCGCACATTTAAGCTACGCGCTTTTTTAAGAACTGGGCCTTGGGACAGCTCCCTGCTCTGCTGCTCACGAGCCGTGTGGAAGACACGGAAAGCCCGGTCCTGACCAGCCGACAAAATCTGACAGCATGTGCCGTCAGCACCGTCTGCCATTGTAGAAAGGGTGTTGTTACCGTAATACCGAATGCGCGTCGGTGGCGCACGGTGGCCTTCACGAGACTTGAGCAAGCGAGCGGTACCGCCGTGGTGGTGGTCAAAGATCCACAACTTGATCGAGTTATCCGTACCCGACGACAGCAAGAGTGGCTCATTGGCCAGAAACTGCAGCGATACCACTGCACCATCATGTGCACCAGTAATGACTGACTCAAGGCGTTTGCTCTGCAGATTCCACACTGCAATATCACCCGACCGCGATCCTGAGACTACCAGCGGCGTAGTCGAAGCACCTGCATCCGTTCGAAAAGACATGGCTGTGATTCCACTTTGCTGTTCCTGTCGAAAGTCCAGCACAGGTTGGTCCAGTTGCAAGTGGTGTACCATCAGTCGTCCATCTGCTAACCCGACACTCACGACGTCTACTGCCGGACTCTGTTCCAGTGCTGTGACAGCACTACCCCATCCCTTAAATTCGTAAATGCATTTCATCTTGCGAATGTTCCAGAGTTGCAAAACACCTTGTGCCGATCCGACCAAAATCTTGTTCAAATATGTATCCGGATGAAGCATAATTGTAGGTGTAAAACTTATCTGAAATGTCAATGTATTGACAATGTCCATTGTATGCAAGTCCCATATCTTGATACAACCTTCATCATCGAGCGAGAAGAGAATGTTGCTGCCCACTGTCAGCAGCTGCTTAATAGTACCTTTATGACCCAGCAATGTCTTGATCCTATCCAGTCGGTTCCAGATAATAATTTGGCACCCACAGGCCGTAAAAGTCAATTGTTTCTTGGGTTGCACAGCCAGCGCTGATATGCGCTTGGGCAATTGGGGAGACACTAACACGGGCGTCAATTTGTCACATTTGTACACGACGAATGACGTCCCTAATGATGCAGTGGCAAAGCTAGCTTTGCCCATACCGTACCACACAATTGACACATCATCAACCACAATGCCAATTGCACGAAAGGCTTGCAGCACGCGGCTGTTCTGAGTGCGTGTCAAAGTGTCACTGGACATGGCTTTAGTAACAGCTAAAGACGATTCTGGTGCGTGTTTCTGCATGCAACGCACAGACTTAGATAGAGATAAGTTTCACCTTTTTACGATGTAATGGGTGCTCCAAAACTAAGCCGATTGACAGCGTAACGTGCAGTTGAATGAAGAGATCAGAGTCACTTGTGTTGGTGGTCTTGGAAGCTTTGCGAATTGACTGGAACCGAGACATTTCGTACTTAAATGGATGTATACCAAATAGGCAGCAAAAAAGTGTATCCATATGTTATCCATTTAGGTAACTGGTCTCTA